GCCGGTTCGCGCCCTTCGACCTCGGCGTCGAACACTTCTGCTAGTCCGAATCGGCCGCATCCTTGCGCTATGTTTTTAGATTCTCGATAGATGACAAAGCCGTACCCCACGGCTCTGTTCGTCGCCCTGGAGCCGTCCGAGAGGACGATCATATGGCTTTCCAGTACTGTCTTAAGCCAGCGCTCGAAAGCTTTCGCAGCCTCTTCTTTGCATTGAACTACTATCTGATCCTGTGAGCTTGGCAGGTACTGTGATTGGAGGAACGCTGGTCTTCCGCATCTTGGCAGAAGTTCAGCCGTCCGTTGTAGCCTCGTCTGTTGCTGTCCCTGCTGGGAGAGCCGCGCGACGAGCGGCTGTCGGCGATCAATCCTCTGCAGTCGGACTGCGGCCCGTAAGTGGACGCCCTCTAAGACAACTTTGGCTGACGGTAAGCCGGCGTCTCGGAGAAGGCTACTGGTTGGCGTTGTCCTTCAGACAGGTAGCACGGCCCTTGCTGCCGCTGTGATGACGCTGTCATCTTCTGCACAAGCCCCTTCTGGCCTGTGTTGACGGGCCTTCCTTGGAGAGGCGGATCCGTGTCTATCTCCGCTCGGCGTCTCGAAGCCGGCTTCGTGATACCTGCGTACCATGTTTCGGCGCCGAAGAGCGCGATCGGCAGTACGCAGGAGACGACGGCTTTTCGCACGGCGGCCCCTGGTAGTCCCCTCTTTGTGTTCGTAAGGTGCCTCAGACGTTGAGCTGCCTTCTTTGCCGCAGCTACTTTTGTGTCGACGTGGTGCCGGAAGGACAGTCTCTTGTCGAACCAGACACCCAGCCAGCGTACAGGTTTTGTCGAGGCCTTGACCACCAAATCTCCCGCCCTGACCTCTGGCAGCTCCGCTGGCTGGCCGTGCTTCTAGGAAAGTAGATGACCTCGCACTTGTTCAGGTCAAAGGAGGCCTTGTTCTCCGAGCCCCATCTGAGAATGCCGGCTGCGCTTCGGTTGAATATTGCGACGTTGCTCTCCAGGGAGGGGCTGATGGCCAGAGTGGCGATGTCGTCCGCGTACCCGAATCGCGCGTCCGGGTCGTCTTCAAGGATCTCTGCGATGTAGAGCAGAAAGACAATGGGAGGTAGTGGCGATCCCTGAGGCAGCCCGCATGACAGAGGAAAGTACTCGGTTGTGCTTTTTTCTAGCCGGACTCTAGCGGTGCGGTTGCGGCAGAAGCTGAAGATCAGTCGGTCAAGCCTTGTGGCCATACCTGCTGACGCAGTCTAATGACGAGCCGGTTCCGAAGGACGGAGTCGAAAGCCCCTTTTACGTCCATAGTCAGAAGCGTCACCGTGAGCCCTTTTAGGAGGGCCATTTCGATAGCGTAGGCGAGGCAGGTCGTCAGATCGACGGCTGACCTGCCTTGTAGACCTCCGATCTGTTGCGGACTGACGATGCGCTCGACAATCGCCAGAGAAGCCATCCTTCTGGCTATTAGTCTCTCGAGTCCTTTGCCCAAGCACGAGAGGAGCGTGATCGGCCGCCGGGACCCGGGCTTGGAGGCATCCCTGCAGGCCTTCTGGATCATGACCACCTCAGCTCTGCGGAAAGGCAGAGGAAAGTGGCCGACCCGCATACAGGACTGGAATAGCAGCCTGACCGGCTCCGAGATGACGCCCCAGCAGGCCTGGAGAAGGCGCGTGGTGATCCCGTCTACGCCAGGGGTTGTTGCCTCTGTCAGGGTAGCCGCCTTCACTTCTTCTCCGCGAGCAAAGACAGAAGATAATTAGGGCTTTTATTGTCTTAAAAGCCAAGAAGAAGGCCCAGAAAGGAAGTCAGGTCGAAGCCCAGGAGATATTCGCGTCAGAAGGAAACGCATTTTACAGTTGGTGAGTGGGGGATTGTCCAGCTGTTGACAATACACGTTAGCAGCTTCATATCATCCTACCATCAGTCGAAAAGAAATAGGTCATTGAGGATATAAGGCTGCAGTTTTCACAAGGCGAACCAAAGGACCACCTGGTTTCCCTGACACCGCAAACTTTTGAGGGTGATAATCGAGAAGTGTAACGCCAGCTGACACACCATTTCAAGGCCTACAATATATTTCTTCTTACATGTCCAAGTCCATTACCGTTCTCTCAATCCATCGAACTATTTACATGCATGTATCGCACCTAACCAAGCCCTTTTCTCTCGTCCTATTCAGCTTCTGAGAGAAGTGGACTTGCAGCGTCGCGAGAGACCGGCCCGGGAAGTAGCTCGAGAAATCGTTGTGGATCTCCCTCCATGAAAGACCCTGTCCTTTCAGTTGAATCAAAAGTCTATTCTCTTGTTCTGAAAACGGTCGTCTGGACTTGGCAGATCGCCTCGCAGGCTTTCGTCTCTGCATCGAAGAACCTGAAGGCCGACCAACTGAGGGATAGCAATGCGTTTGTTGTCCTTCTGTGGACGGCTGCTCCCATTGCAGTTGAAATGTCGTTACAAATCCATCTGTGGTGCGCTTCAGGACTGGATTTTGAGAGGCCACTCATCGTATTGCCCAAAGAAGGATCTGGGATCTATTTCGTTATCGGTAGAAGCAGGAGAGACTGGCGAGGTCAGAATTCTGATGCCTGATCGTTTAGTAGCCCGCTCTGACCTTCGTCTTGGTTTCATGCTAATGCGATGATGTGTCCCGTGATCTCAGAGCCCTGCTGGTGCCAACAGTCTCCTGGGAGTTTATTTTACGACGTTTGGGTTTTGGCTGACCGCGTTGGTCAGAATTGTCCTCACAGCCCTGGGACCGTGCCGGATTCTGTCAGGGTTGGCTTGATCTCCGAAGCAGTCCTCGTTGGTTCCATGGCGCCATCCTCATCGCTAGATTCCGGGTCCGAATCGATTCAGCATAAGCGCCCGTTGGTAGTCGTGATTTGCGAGCTCGGCGACGGACTCGAGATAAGTGTACAGGAGGAGCATCTGATGCTGTCGTCTCAGCATCCAGGTGCATTTCGTCGGGTGAAGATGAACAGTTGCTGGAATGAAGTGCCGTTCTGTGATCAGCAGGCCGCTTCGGTCGGTGAGCGGGCTAACTACGTCAACACCACAGTTTCGGCCACGGATTGGGATCTCTTGTCCGGAAAGGGGTTGGCGTGTGAATTTCGGGTGTGCATGGCATTTCTTGGCCTATAGATGCCAAACTAGAGAACGGCAGCCCACTTTCGGCCAACGCCGGGCTTGGCATCGTGCCAGACTTTTCAGCAGGCCCTCTCGGGGATTCTGAGGCCTCTCCAATTCCGCGCTGCTGGATGGCACGACTTGTTGATGTTGCAGCCAGATCGTCAAGTCGACATCGGCTGCTTGACTCACTTGGGGAGGATGCTCGGTGTAAGGCGGAGTGCTCTCTGGAGCAGGGTCTCTGAGCTGACAGTCGATGCATTCTTAGTCGACTTTTGAGGGAGAGCCTGGTCGGCTGTGTTGTTGGCAGCTTGGGGACCTGGATCTGGGTACGAAGGAAGCATTGCCGCCGTGAATGCCTCGGATGGCAACGAAAGCGCCGAGACTGGTAGACAGTTGGCAGACCAAGCCGCCGTCTCAGGCGAATTCTCGCGCGTATTGAAGTCCACTGTCACAGGCTTCTTGGCTGAGCTGTGGCCCATATCGCCAGACCCTGGGCAGCGTTCAATCCGCAGATACGGCTTATCATTTGAATTGACTTTGCCCTCAACATTTGACTCTGGAAGGGATTGGGAGGACACGATTGGTTTCTTGTCACGATGACTCTTGATCTGATCGGGCGTGGTCGTTGTGTCGTCTGAAGGAGGGATCGCGGTTCTTCCCATCACAGAACAGGAAGGACTGGGAGTCTGTCTTGTTGTGCTTCGGGCTGCCAATGGACGCACAGCTTGCGCTGGAGCCGAGTAGAATGAAATGTTGTCAAGATTGATGGGCATTTTGGGTTGAACGTTGGAGAGTTCCAAAAGTCTGATGTTTGACAAGATGAGAGTGTCGAAGTCTATCAGCCAGACGCTCTCCTTTAAGTAGTCGATGTTCAGCGACGAGGGCAATGCATTAACGCTTCCGTGTTGTCTGCAAAGAAGAACAGCGAGCACGCCAAGAGGTACACTCTGAACGCCGATATCTGCACATACGATGCCTGGTCTGTCCAGGCACATTCGTCCCCCACTGTTCGTAGACAGTGTCGTATTGTTGCCAATCAGCAGTCGCCAGAAGTATACGCCCTTATGGATGCGACTCAACCTGAGACCGGCCCCCCAAAGTCCCGTATGCATCTCGCAGTAGTTCTCGGAGTAGCCGATGGCCTGATAAGGCATGGTATGCCATCTTGAGCGCTGAACAGGTCATATCGCCGTTTGAACTGCCATTCCGTTTGCCCGAGGTGTCATGCGTTGGGCAGGAGGGATGCTGGCTAGGCTGAAGCGCAAGGCAGACACGCATGAAGCGCCATGCAGCAACCGTCATGATGCATCCATATCAAGAGGCTCGTGCCGCAATATGCATTCAGCGCGCGCATCATGAGAGTCGGTCCGAAGGTGACTAAGGAGCCGAATAGGGAAATTAATGAGGTCGGTCCAGGGGCTGAGTTCAAGGCAAGACTGCCTGACCAGCCTCCTTGCGTCATCAAGTTGGCGCCTGGTGAACAGGGGGCAGTTTGTGACTGGCAACGGATCTAGGCCATTGCGCGAGATGCATCCGAGGCACCGAGATATGCAAGACTCAGGAACCCATCTCAAAGTCACCCAGCAGAAAGTGAGTTACAACAGCGCATGACGGTACTCTTCACTCTGCCTCTCGTGGTAAAACAGTCAGCCTGGTCCCCATCTCCGGTTCACAACCGTCCAGGCCTCCTATTCTCGAGTCAGAATAAGTTCATCGTATCGAGATACGATTTGGGGTCAAACCTAGAGCAGATGGATCTGAAGAGGAAGGCGCCTAGGTCGTGTGGAACGTCTCGATGTGGGGTGAGAGAGGCGAGATGGCGGCGTAACTGGGCAAGGTAGCAACGTAAGAGACAGAGCCACACTGCCCATGGGCAAGGGTACGATTCAGGAGAAGCGGGAAACCCGAGCGATGAATGCTTTGTGAAAATAATGGGAGGGAAGGTAGAGGGTACGAAAAGTTGACGTCGAGACGAGGGCGACGCCGTATTTAAGGGCGGCGTGAATTGGCACGGGCAGGGGTGCACGTGCAAAGCGGCGCGGGCGCCATGCCCGATTGGAACGTGCCGCCAAACCAGGAGGGGCAGGCAGCGACTTCTCGATTACTTTTTAAACCTAAGGGGCGAAGTATAAAAAAATAAAGTATTTCCGCTTTTTATTAATATAATAAAATAGTATATTAATAACGAGCTTATTATATATTTAGGCTTTTTAAATATTATATTCGTTTTTATTATTTAAGAACTTCGCTAAGTTTAATAAAGGCTTTTTATAAAAAGCTCCGTTATTAAAGGGCGCTTCTAAACTAATAGGGGTTCTATAAAAGTCGGGTTCTTTAATAAAAAGCGCGGGGGGTCCGCTTATTTATTAAAACTACTTTTATAATAACTATAAGATTTTATTAAACTTTTTATATTTATATTTCCGTTCTATTATATTTACTACTCTTTTTATTTTATTTTACTTCTAAACTTTTATTAACTTTTATAAACTTTAAATAATCTATTTTTAAGTCTATATTATAGCTCTTACTAACTAAATACTTAGCGGTACGTTAATAATTATATTCGTTTTTATTATATAATATAATTAATAATAAAGTAAATAAAAAGAGGAGCTTAAATATATTAAAAGTCTAGCCTATATAAATCTACGTTAAGGGGATTTTAATATATAAAATCTAAGCTAAGGAGTAAAGGTTTTTAAAGCGGAGGTTCTACAGAGGTTCTATAAAAGAAAAGTATTTAAATAGGACCTTTATAGAAACGGCGCGGTGAGCCGTAGTAATATCTGGGCTAAGGCTCGGATCTACTAATCGGGTCTAGCCCGTAACAGGTGACCCCATATACCAAGCCTTGCAACTACTCCAAACTAACCATAGAGATATGAAGAGCGATGTTCAGCATCTGGTTATATCAAGAAGAAGGAGACATCGAGGTTAGGTCAGGGTTCAGGCTAGGTTTTAGAGATAGCAATCGGGCATCGGACCTGTCTCGCACCACGCTCAGGCTTCACGGCATGGAATTCTAAGCCCCACGAAGGGGGAGTGTGTGTTCGGGTCGTTAAGGACAAGAGCAGAGCGACTTACAGTCGTTTAAATCTACCACGTTACCTAAGGCAGACTTCTGCATAAGCCCGGTGCTGCTGGTGTGCAACGGAGGGGCGGTGTTCGAGGTGTGCCCATGTGCAAGGCAAACCACCACATACCTTAGCCAGTAAGAATCTGATGATCTTTAGCAACCCCGCCACCCGGCCCGAAATGGAATTATTGCATGCACTTTTCTTGGAACTTAAATGTCGTCTATTATCCTGAGGATCAGTCTCAAGCGGCGCGTCCTCATAGTAATCAAAACCGCCCCTACCTAGTTGTACTAGCTTGTTATCTCGACATCCGTTGGAGCGCTTCGTCCAGATCCTGCCTAGGGTCCCGGAGTATCTAGGTGAAAGCCTCTCAGCATGCAAACACACGACGCGTATGATCGGTTCACGGAGCTTTGTCGTCATTCTGACAAATATCCTCAAGCACAGCTTAGAAACCAGCAACCTTCTTGAGGCTCTCTATGGTGAAAGGCAATATGAAAGCCTTCAAGAGAGGGAATGCTCTTTATTTGACCATGCGGCATCTGTAATAACGTTCTGGGAAACTGGAAAACGAAACCGTAAGGTTACAATGATCTTCGTTAATCTGGGACTTTTATCTGATGTCAGTAGAATTCCCCAAGGAGGAAGAAGCCATTTGGGATATGGAGACCCTTCGGCTCCATCTGCACCGCGGAGACCAGGATCCGCACGTTCGCCATGTGTAAGCTGCAAATTCCCGACCCTCCGATCCTCAATGAACAAATTCTGACAAGCGACCAGCTTTGTTGGCGCAGATAACTCGAGATCGCCGCTAAGCTGCTCTATGGATATGTTCAAACTAGTCTGCTCCTATCACCAAGTCAACCATGCTTTTCTGGAGCCAGTCCATGCCTTTGGACGACAAAAAGAGCCTCTTGATCTCTGCTTGGCTCAGTTTAAAGGCTGCGACACGCTCAGCTGTCCCGCTGAAGGCTCCCCGGAGCTTCCCAAGCTCGGCCGTTCTGGTCGGGAAATCCAGCTGTCTTATCTTCTCCGCTCTGTCGAATCTTCCGAAAGTGGCAATGGCGTCTGGGACTGGCAGATCCGTCAAGTTGCAAACTATCACTCCTTCGACGTGGAAACCGGACGGGCGTTTTGGTTTACCATCAAGGCAGACGAAATTTTTGAGGATCGGATAAAGAAAATCAGCCCTCTTCTCAGAATTCCAGCCAAAACTGAGACACAAGATGGAGATGTTTCTCTCTATCTTCAGGCATCATTGGCTACTCACTTGGTTTACCTCTCCTGGTGCGATGAGAATTGTCGACAGTTTATCAACGAGACCGAAGCAGGGATTCGAACGATCGTAACGCCAGCCACAAGAGCGATTGTCGATGACCTCATTGACAAAGAGTCCAGTTTCTTGAGTGCGTACCCAAAGCCTTTGAGAGACTCTCGCAACCCAACCATGTACTCGCAAAGTCAATCCATGTCAGGCACTTTAGCCACCACTATTGACTCTGAGAAAAACAAGATGTCGATGTTATCCCGTATGACAAACGGGACATCGTCGACTCTCAGCTCTTGGCTCAAGCAGGAGAAGTCAAAACACGCGGATCCGGAGCTTGGTGATCAATACCCTACTTGTAATACCACGGATACAAGTTCACAGCCTCCCCAGCCAGATACGTGGGAAACTCTCAACCAGTTCCGGTTCAAAGACATACAAACCTTGCACAAGCACTCTGACATTATTCATCGAGCTTCACTGGCTCTGGAACTTGACGTTGGCGTCCTTGGTGACATCTGCGACTTCTACAGCCAGATCGCTGCCACTGAGTTTCGTGAGAAAGCTGCATGTGAAGTATCAATCTGCAGATTCATTAAAGAGGTCAAATCTATTGTGAGGAGACTGGAAACACGACTGCATCAAATGCGTTGCTTGGCCATCTCAATCAGCCAAAGTATACAGCTAGTAAGCTTAAACCTAAGAGCAGCATGTTAAAAGACATTCCAAAGCTGACATGAAGACGCAAAGTACGAGAGATTAATCCAGCAACGCACAAATCATGTTGGTAATTGGTTTGCCGAGATAGCGCACGAGAACACCAAACAGATGCAAGTCATTACAGACAAGACGTTGAAGGAAACGACATCTATGCATGTCATCACCATTGCGACACTAATTTTCCTGCCGGCCACCTTCGTTGCAGTAAGGACTGCTTACCCGAGTCTTGCCAGCGTAATTTGAGCCTCTGACGCGATGGCAGACTTTCTTTCAGAGTGGAGTGTTGCTTTGGAACGAAGACAGGGCAGAGGACATGAAAGAACCGTTCATTTGGAAGCGTGATAACTTGATGCTGTTTCTGAGCTTCTGCGGTCCTTTGACTGCGGCGACCATTGGCGGCTGGTTGTTCATGTGTGTACGATTGAGGAGAAGCGCTAGGCGTGGACGTTAAGTATTGACAATAAAGATGCTGGGGTACATGGCGATGATATAGAAATACGTTGTTGGGCTGGCATACATTTCTAGTCTGATTGGTTGATTCGATTTGATTCAGAGGTGGAAAGGAGGGAAAGCTTGGCAACTGCATATGTCTTCGGTAGAATACAATATGATCTTTGTAGCCTATAGTGCAGACTTTTGGTTCTTTTGAATAGTTTTAGTAAGTATATGTTAAATACTATGCTACCATCTGTCTAATAAGTCTGAGGCCAAGAAACTGAAGAGACTCCTTGCGCTGAATAACAGTCTCCGGCGAGAGCTGATTACCAATGTTCGAAGCGGACTAAGCTGCACGTCATACAACATTGCCGAGCCCTGCAGGAAGCCGATACTTCCGTTCAATAATAAGCAAGGCACACTGGATGCGACACCTTCAGCCTATGGCGTACGTGATAGCCCAGGTCAAATATTGACCGGCTCACTGTACTGGGACGAGCTAATACGATCCAACCCCTCTCTGCAGGCTGCCTCTCTACTCATACCCTGTCAAGCCAAACATAACCAATGGTGAAAGGACCGGTAGCCCAAAAGCAGCTGAGAGCAGGCGCGCCAAATATGTTTCAAAGCTGACTGGGAGTCGATGCCTGGCAGCCACTCGTTGCCTTATTAGTTCGCCAGAGCGGTCTTACACTCACGTCGAAAATGAAAAGCCGCAATGGACGTGCTTACGTGGTTTGGAAGCAGTTGCCTCGACTTAAGACCTTTCTCATACACCGACTGAACTCCGGCTCGCTGTGTTTGCGTTGAGAGCTCTTCGTGCTCATCTTCGTCTTGAACGGCAATCACCTTCGTCTTGGAAGTCTCTCACAATCATTACTGTCGAATACATTTTACAATCCAATCAGTCGCTTCCGTGCGAGGCTTAGCGACTCACTTGACATTCTGATACATCCACGCCTGTTGGCATTGTCCACAAGGCCCAGAAGTCAGAGAAAATGAAGCAAGACAATGTGATTGCTGAATTTAAGCAGTATGCCGACGAGTACGTCCAGAAGCATAATTGCTACGGTATGAGGGGATACGATGCATATGAAGACAAACATGTAGCATTTGTTCCCCGGTGCGCACTCGAGAGTTTTTGGACGAAGGAAAACATGAGACGCGTTTTGTATAGTCGAGAAGACTGGATCAAAGACACTATTTCCACCATCCAGCCGCAATATCTCATTGTTTTCTCCATCCTCGTCTACATGTCCCAGCCACAGCACATCTCACTTTTCACAGGAGAGTTCATCAAAGATACATCATTGCCGCTGGCAGATAATCCGCATGCGTACTCTGAAAAGGAGGATTCGGAAGAGAAGAGGGTCTTTGAGGAATTCCAGAAGGAGCAGTGGAGATTCTATCCCTTCTTGTTCAAGACTGATGGAGGGCCCAAGCCTCGAAAGAGACATCTTCCACCTCTGCAGATCATCCCTATCATAGCGAAAGACCGCATCGAGCATGCAGGGAACGTCCAAGACGACAAAGTTTGCGTGTATCGAATACAGCTACACCCGCAATGCTTTTCTCAGCAGGTAATTAGAGGCTTCAGTTTTTGTCGAAAGTATGACTCAGCTCTGACAACGTTCTGCTAGTTCGTCGTTTTTAAAACTTATCGCGACATAAATGAGGAGGTTAAGCAACTTTATGAGAACGAAGTAGATATGTATACGCAGCTCGACGATCAGACCACATCTTATGATTCCATCATCAAGTATTTTGGCTCATTCGAGATTCCCGGGCTACGGACCATCATACTTGAATACGCCCCAGGCGGGAACTTGCAGTCCTTCTTCAAAGCATATCCTCCTCCTCTGGCCCACTCAGATCGCGTTCTTTTCTGGGATAGCTTGATGGGCCTTTTAGGCGGCCTAGATGCAATTCACAATCTCAGAAAAAGCCGTGGAGGAAAGGGAAGTTGGGAACTTAAAGGGTACGATAATCTTAACTTAAGTCTGAATTCTGAATGAGGCTAATGTTTAAAATCGAAGAACTCACCAGGATATCAGGCCGCAGAACATCCTCATTTGTCCTGGCCCGCCTGACAATATATATGCTGTAAGATTCAAGTTCGCAGACATGGGAACAGGCCACATTCACAGGGCAAGATATCAAGGGCTGGGATTGAATGCTGAGGATAACTATGGGAATGGGATGTATAGTAAGCGTTACTTCCTGGTTCTGTCACTTCTTCATTCATCTAACCCTGGATTCCTATAGGTGCTCCAGAAGCATACCGAGATCAAGGCGACTCAAATTTGATTCGATGGGAGAGCGACATTTGGTCTCTCGGCGGTGTCGCCAGCGAAGCCCTAGTGTGGACGAGATGGGGAGAGTATGGACGCGGCCGATATCAAGAAGACCGAGTGAGCGAAACCCACGTGACTCCTCTGAATGGCGGCTTTCATGAGGGCGCCTTTCATGACGGAGCTCCGGACGGGGCTTGTCTCTTGGATGCAGTGGACGAGTGGCATCAGAAAGCAATCAGCTACGCCGGTGAAGACTCTCAGTGGTTTTCAGATGTCAGCGAATTCCTCCTTTCAGGCATGCTTTTGACAGATCCCAGAGAGAGACTCAAAGCTTTGGAGCTTCATGCTGCATGGAAGAGCAGGATTCTTAACGGCCCTCGCCTAGTTGAACCACACAGAAAGGCAGAGTATGCTCCGATCAGGTCTTCGAGGCCCCATTCAACATCTCGGAGGAGGGAAACCAGCCCGCTGAGCCGATCTAGCCGATGTACTGAAGAGCACTCTAACGAGAGAATCGTTGCAACACGTTCCACCGGATCAAGGTCAGATGACCCTCCCGGTATCATTCTACATTCACCAGAAGCAATCCACGAAGAGGCAGGCTCAGGAAGATTTCACGAGTCCCGAACGCCCCACAGATTTGACTCGGTGCCTAATCGATCAACGCAAGTGTCCGGAGGTTTGCTGAACCATGAAAGGCATTTATCGGTGCCAGGTACCGCTAATGCTGCAACCGAAATCGACCGCAGGTCTTCCCCGTGGGATAGATCACTAGAAACTATTCCAGCTGAAAATGTCCCAAAAGCTCTAAACATTGAAGCTCATGCAAATACACCGACAGATGACAGAGCTGAGTTGATGGGAGCGCCAGAGCAGCCAACAAGGCTGAATACCGCCATTGATTTTACGGCGCATGGGTTTCAGGATGAAGAGTTGCCATATAGACAGGAGAGGTTGCCGTCCTATAGGGGACCTGACCCCAGTCTCTCTCCTCCGAGCCATTCGCAGTGGAGTCCGGAACCCATCTCTCCCAAGGATCTCAACGATGATATAACTATGGAAACCATCTGGAACGTATGCATAGAAGGGAAGAAACGCTCACACTCGCCATTCAGAAGTTTCCGCAGTAATAGAGGAAGCACGAGCTCCAACGTCAAAGGCAAGCCTCTGGAGGCATACCCACAACTTGCCCCATCTCTCCAAAAGTTGAAAGGAGAGACAGGCCGTGATCAGGTAAGTCAAGGTGACACCGGTGTTTATGGAGCAAACTAATCTGTTCATTTCGTAAGATATTTCTTGTGGACGACTCCAGGTCCATGGAGCCTCATCAGAAGAAGGTAGCTACGAGTTGCCAAGTTCTCTCCTACTTACTCAAAAAGGGAGGAGTTGACCCAAATTCAACTTTCGAGGTTTATTTCACCTCATCTAAACCTCCTCTTCAGTCGAACAAAACCTCGGAGCTCAAGCAAAGCATAGAGGGAATGGCGTTTCGTGAAGAACAGTGCAACATGGGCCCAAGTTTGGACGGAGTGGTCAGCAAAGCTATCCAGAACAAGAAGCCGGTTAGCATATACGTGCTGACGAATGGCCACTGGAATCTCAGGAACCAAGAGAGCTTCTGCGGTGTCGATGGTCCGATCAAGCGACTGGTGACTCATGTTCAACGGACTAACGAACAACAGAATTGGATTGGCGTTCAGTTCATCCGATTCTTTCAAGACCCGGTCACGGCTGCTGACAAACTTGGAGAGACTCGGTTGAAAGCGTTGGACGATGATTTGAAACAAGAAACCGGAATGTAAGTTGGCGCCCAGCTTCTTCTCGAGTTGATACTGATCACTAACTCTCAACAAGAGATATTGTCGATACACGGAACTTTGACGCAGATGTGCGCAAAATTTTACTTGGCTCAGTCGTACCAGACGAGGATAATTCTTGAAGTTTCTAATCCTCGATGCACTTCAGCTCTGAGGACCTTGCCGGCATGTCAGCAGAGGTGCGGCGCTAAAGACACATTTGTTAGATAAGACCATTGTTTTCTGCTTTGGGCGTCATTCATGATGTTGCGTTGCTGATACTTTCAAGTTTTTCTTCTCTTTTGTGCTACGTGTGTATCGGCAGTAATCGGTGGGCAGGGAGCGCTTACTTGTGTCCTAGTCATTGTGGACAAGTCTATAGACGCTCCCCAAAACGAACTGGCCGACGTGGAAGCCATCTAGTCTCAAGCGAGGTTGCATCTATCTGTACCGTTGATGGCGGTTGTGACGGGCATCAGAAAAAGCTAGAGTGATTTGCGTTCACACTAATTTGGATATCAAGCTTATTTTCAACTTGGGAACAGCGAAAAGCGAATACATGTGGCCGAAAGTAACTGCGAGATCGACAAATAACGATAGCCCTGCTTGCTACTTTCCTATTGTGGTTCTAGAAGGTGGGCTCTTTAGAATATACTTTTGGCGGACCGCAGACGTGCGACAGGTGGCCCACGGGAGCATCCATGATCAATCAGCAAGAACTCTAATAGAGCAGTTCCGTTAGGTTTCGATAGTGTGTGGAAACAGGTTTCCTACACTATATTCTTCCTCGGTGTCCGTACTGATTAGTTTACTTGCGCTTTCAGCGAATATCTTCATCGAAGCCGGAGACAGCGAGTGCTCCGTGTGCCTGTCGCATTGCAGTATGTCTGTAGCAATCAACAGTTTGCCGCGTTGAAGATTTTAGCAACGCACTGATCCTATCGCTAATGCACTTGCAAGTTGGCTGTTCACTTGTTAGAGAGGGGAACCCTTCAATTTCATCATGAGAAGCGAGTTGCTCGCAGGCGCACAGATCGTGTCTTTCAGCATGTGCATTGGCCAAGCTCGTTTGCGCCCCGCTGTCTCATGGCGTGGCATCCTGAGTGCCAAGATTAACGGTACGTGAGAAGAGTTGACGCTAATAGAGTCGAGAGGAGAGGCAAGAATAGCATAAAGGGGCAAATGGGCAGTGACGGCTGGGCGAAAGTTTCTTTTCACGGTGAAGTCCAGATAATTAGATACAGACACAGATCTCAGCTACCATCAGCCGCAAGAGGACGATAACTAAGCGGCATTGAGAACGCGAAATTGAAGTAAGCCTTTCAGTGTCTGAGACTGTGAGACAAGAGGCCGCGCTAGGGGAGTTGTCAGCCACGCCAACGCGCCAACGCACCAAGTATCACCATCCAGAAGAAAAAAAGGGCTGCTGAGGTAATGACCAGTGCCTCCGACGGTAACATTCTGGACCTTACGAATGCGAGCTGTCCGAAGCCTTGGCTTGCCCTGCGATGAATAACTCGTCTGCTCCAACAAACAAGCAGCCAACCCCTGTTCTGCCCCTGACAGCTCGCAGCGGCGCCCAGACCGACGATCCTTGCAAGCGCACCACCCATCGGCGATGTCTGGACTCTGATTCCCTGAGAGCCTCCGGCGGCCCCTCTCTTGTGCCTGGTGTTGGCTGACGGCGTTGGCTTACACTACGGGCTTGGCCCCCGTTGCCCGTGAAAAGATCTTTGGTTGTTCGTGCAGCAACATCGGGCAATGGACAGTATCCAACAGGCCTGCGGCGGAAAAATGTGTTCGAAAAAGGAAAATGCGACGCCGCAGGGCTGCTTAAATTACCGCGCCGCCCAATGTCGGTTGTGAAATCGTGAAAGATGTAGAGGGCGCACTTCATCAAATATCAATGGGGTGGTGTTGGTGATGGTAGCCACAATTCGATATTGTGCTGAATCACAAACCCCAAAGTGGGCTCGCCCATCCAAGGCCCAGTGTTTAAACCTTCGGAGAGGCAGAACGAGGCCACAGCTTTCATCTTATATAGATGGCCCATGGAGACCGTCTCCGCGCGCGCTTCCACCAGGATGGACTTCTCCGTTTCGTTCAGCTTCGGGGTTTTTTTTCCACCTGCCCGTTGAACAGTTGAAGGGTGACCTTGAAAGTTGAAAGAAGGCTAAGAGCGGCGAAGTGCCGGAGCTGTCGGGCCATGCGCGCGTTCAAGTAGCATTAAGCTAGTTAATAAGGATATCGAAGTGGGCTTATACCGAGTCATGCGGGATATCATTGGTTGGATCGAGGCTTCTGAGATTGACCAAGAACAATTCGAAAAGTCAAACTGGCGGAGACAAAGCGACAACACCTCAACAACCTGCCATCACCTTGGTTTCTCTTAAAAGCCAGACCCGCCCTGATTTGGGATTTAGTATCTTGGCATCTCCGTTTGTTATATCGTCCATATTGAGCGTCCGCTCGTCGTCATCAGGCGTCACCAACAGCGGCCGCCACCTTAGGAGGAGCGTGAAGGAGGAGACTAACGGTGACTCGTGAGACGGACTTGAACGGGGAGCACAGAATACCCAACACCGTTGCACGGATGATGGGCCAGCTATTTCGGTGGCCCGTCATCTTATCTCCCGCAACTTGCAGGCCCTTCATGTACGGGACCTTTTCGACCGACCTTTTCGACCTTTACTTCCCATTTCCATTTCCCAGCCAGCTGGGCAACTTTACAGACGCCAAGCCGAGCTAACAAGGTTGCTTTGCTTTTCCTGCAGGGCGGTGCAACGCCCAAGCGAGGAACCCCAACCATGACTCGGCCTTGTTTGGGAGTTGGGAACTTGGGACTGGAGTTCTTGGCCGTGATTCTTGGCAATTAAAAACGGGATGAACATGAATGGGGTTGTTAGTGTGCTGCAAAGCTGACAACCCGCATGGGCGCATAGGGGGGTCCATCAAGACTTGGCATAGTCGGATGGGATATATGGGCGGCTCGCCATGTCGACCTTTGGTAGTTTCTAGTCTTTTTCTTCTTCTTCACTACTAGTCAACTATCCGTCTTATTCCTGTAAGACAACGTCACTCGTTTCCAACTACCAAAGTCATTCTTTATATAATATTAGTCATTCTTTCGCATCATGCATTTCAAGACCGTTGCTACCTCGCTCCTCGTGGCCGGAGCGGCCGCCTCCCCCTTCCGCCGCCAGACCTCGAACGAGACCTTCTGCGATGAGGACCTCCCCGCCCCTCAGCCGAGCAGCACCAAGGCTCACTTCCCGCCTTACCCCGTGAACACCACCATCCCCGGTGTTCCCACTACTCCCGGCGGCTCTTACCCTCCTCCGTCAAACCCTGGAAACGGAGGCAACACTGGCTCTGGCTCCGGCTCCGGCTCCGGCTCTGGATCTGGGTCTGGTTCCAACACTGGTTCCGGATCTGGCTCAAACACGGGCTCGAACACCGGTTCTTCCACCGGTTCCTCGACTGGATCTAACACTGGTTCCAACACTGGTTCCAACACTGGTTCCAACACTGGTTCCAACACTGGTTCCGACAAGGGATCTGACAAGGGCTCCAACGGCGGCTCTTACCCCGGAGGAGGCAAGCCTGGATCCGGCGGCTCGTGGCCTTCCGCTGCTCCCTCCGCCGCCGCGTCTGCTCCCGCCGGCAACGTCCCCTCGTACCCGGGCAAGCCTCCCGCCGGCTCTTCTTACATTCCCTTCCCTCAGAACACCAGCATTCCCACCGCTGCTCCCTCCTTCACCACCGTTCCCGGTGTCGCTCTTCCCACCGAGCCCATCGCCGTTCCCAGCACCACCGTCCCCGCTGGCAACAACGACACCATCCCGGCCTCCACCTCTAGCACGGCCTCCGGATCCGCCTCCGCCAGCGCTACCGCCCCGGCCACCAACATCCCCTACGGCGTTGCCATCACTAAGTGCACTGTCGAGGGTGACTTCGCCCTCACCTTTGACGACGGCCCGTTCACTTACACCGAGCACGTCCTCGACCTCCTCGCTGAGGCTGGCGCCAAGGCCACTTTCTTCGTCAACGGCGAGAACTTTGGCAACATCAATAACTTCCAGGATGTCGTCAAGCGCATGGTTGCCGACGGCCACCAGATTGGCTCGCACACCTACAGCCACCCCGATCTCGCTACCCTGGGCGATGCCGACATCATCCCTGAGATGACCACGCTCGAGGATGCTCTCTTGAACATCATTGGAAAGTACCCCACTTACATGCGCCCTCCCTACTTCAGCTGGAACGACAACACCCTCTCCATCCTGAAGGCGCTTGAGTACCACGTCATCCACGCCGACATCGACTCCTTCGACTACGCCAACAACGCTCCCCTCGGCAACCTCACCAGCGTCGGTATCTTCGAGAAGGGTGTCGACGCCGGTGGTTCCATTGCCCTGGCCCACGAGGTAAGTTTTTTACGAGTCCAGTCAAAATTTTTCCTTCATCACAGACAGTTAACATCCGCAATAGGTTCACCAGAACACCGCCGAATACCTCGTCCCGGAGTTCCTCCGCATCATCAAGGAGAAGGGCCTGAACGCCGTCACCGTCGGTGAGTGCCTGGGCGACGCCGAGGCCAACTGGTACAAGACGAAGCGCACCTCCACCCCTACCGCCACCGCCTCCAAGATCGTCGTCTCCATCACCAGCACCGCTACCCCCACCGGCGTCATCGGCCCTGACGGCGCCTGCGGCGGCTCCAACAACTACGTCTGCGAGGCCGGTGCCTGCTGCTCCGAGTACGGCTTCTGCGGCACCTCCCAGGCCTACTGCGGTACCGGCTGCCAGCCCCTCTTCGGCGTCTGCGGTGTCGCCGGCCCCGTTGCCTCCGGCGGTGATGCCACCTCCAGTGCCCCCGCTGCTACCCAGACCGCTGCCACCGGCGGCGTCAGCCCCGACAGCTCTTGCGGTGGCTCCAACGGCTACACTTGCCCTGACAGCACCTGCTGCTCTGAGTACGGCTTCTGCGGAACCACCACTGCTCACTGCGGCACCGGCTGCCAGCCCATCTTCGGCACCTGCTCTTAAGTTGGCGGTCTAGCTGAGGGTTGTGTGCGTGTGTATATGTCATGATGGTTGCATCACGTTGATATGGTTATGGGACAAAAGTTTCCTTTATATATCCTGTAGAGCTGTGCATAGAGTCAATAAAGTGTGTATTTACTTCATCTTTGGATATAGCCAAACTAGCCATTGAATAGCCCGCTATAGTAGTTGCCTCTGCCCTTTTGGCAAGATCATTCGTGTGACTGTGAAAATGAACAGCCAAGTTACTAGTCTGTCGAGGGCTGAACCGGTCGATTTCAAGGGGTCGAGCCACAGATCTGCCAAGATCTACGATCCATTTCAGAATATCCACCGTGAGTAGGTCACGTAACTAGTGACGAGACCAAGAATAGGCAGGCACGTAGGAGGCATGTAAGCCAAATGAACCGGTCAAAGACATCCGCTTTCGTTATCCTGTGCAGAGAGAGACTCATGAGTACTTTGGGTGACTGAGAGCCCAACGATGGTCGTATCGATAATCTGTCTATCGTCATTCCTGTAGGAACCCGAGCTGCGCATGCCACGGAATGCGGGGTATCGACGGCGGGCTGAAGCGATCAGCCATATCTTGGCTATACCTTCCGTGTATGCCCACCTATCATCAATCATGGTTTGTAGCCCGCTTATCGTCCAAAATCGGGGCAGATTATATCGGGAAACAGTTGCATATTGCGGGGTCGGCCGACGGGATGGCAGTAGTGCGGAGGAAGGGAAGATCATTGAGTCCAGATGCGACCTATAGAGATATCGTACATGGGTTTCGTGCTCTTATCCCCCGACGGCGGGTGACCGTGCTGAAGTCCACCAGTTGAAAGAAAGGTCGATATCGGTAGCGGGATAGGTATTCTTACAGTAATCAATCGTCATGTTCACAAAGTTGCCTTTCATGCTCTTGGCTCACAATTGAGTGCTTCTGCACAAAGAAGGCATCGTCACACTGCTTGATCTAGCTTCGCAGAAGTCGTCGCAATTGCCAGCGAGTGACACCCTCGTCGACCACCATCATGCCGAAGCCTTTTGTACAGATTCCAGGCAACAGCACATGCCTCTCGATGATAGTCGTCATGTCTTTGACTATCGATAGTTGTATAAGTTGTACCGACCAGATAGCACTATTCTCTGCTTGAGTCGTCTTCAACTCCCCATCGATTCAACTTCGACTTCCAATTGCCGCCATGCTCCCTAATTTTGGTCTCAGTTGGGCCGTGGTTCTGTTCACCCTACATGGCCTTTCCTCTTCAGTCTTGGCTTCTCCGAATAACGTCCTTGAAGATAGAGCCGTTTACACTTGTACCATTGAAGCCAACAATGACGGCTCCGATGATTCCCCAGCCATCCTCGCAGCCTTCAAGGAATGCCGTAAGAATCGCCGGATTGTCTTCTCCAACACGACGTACAACATTGAAAAGATGATGACCACGACTGATCTGGAGAATACCCAAATCGAGATCCATGGGACATTGGTGGTGAGATTAGACATCTTCGCTACTCCTGTCATGGGCCATCTATAGTTACTGATCACTTCTGCTTGATACGTAGTGGAGCAAAGACACCAACTACTGGCTCAGCAACCCGCAGCCGACCGGTTTCCAAAACGGCTCTGCGGCTTGGTTCCTGGGCGGGAAGAATGTCACAGTCGACGGCTTTGGATATGGAACCTTGGACGGTAACGGACAGACATGGTCAGTATCCCGGTTCTCAACAAGATCCGTCCAACTCGTACTGACACCCTTGGTCCAGGTACAACTTAGTCAAAGGCCAGTCCAACTACCCCGACCGCCCTCATGCCTTAGCCATCTGGAAAGCGTCAGGCATGACGGTGAGAAACGTACGCATGGTGCAAAGTCAGATGTGGACCATGGCAATCATGCACTCGCAGAACGTGCTATTCGACGGCGTATACATCAACAGCACTACCAACAACGGGTACCCTGCCAGGAACACGGATGGCGCAGACACCATCGACTCGGACCGCATCACGTTCCGCAATATGTACATCCGAAATGGCGACGATGCGATTGCCATCAAGGGCAACTCTACCAACATCCTCATCGAAGACTCCACCATGAATCGCTCTCTGGGTATAGCCTTTGGCAGTCTTGGCCAGTATAAGAATGAGTTTGAGCGCGTTTAAAACGTCACGGTGAGACGTATCAAGGGCTTGGGGAATCGGTATGGCGCATATGTGAAGACGTGGACTGGAGATCAGGTTTCCTATCCCCCTAATGGAGGTGGAGGCGGTGTTGGATGTGAGTGAATCCTAGAAAGCCTAGAAAGCCTCCAAGCTTTCCTTTTGAACCTGAACAAGACTTGCTAATGAATCTGATCCAAGACCTCAAGAATGCGAGTAAGTCACCTTTTCATCACTACACGAGCCTTCCAAACACATGTGTAGAAACACACTAATGGCATCTCTAGCCCTCTATGACTTTGACCTCACTGCGACACGAGAGGCACCCTTCCTCATTGGCCAATGCACCAGCTTCAGCGGCCAACAAGGAGACTGCGAAAGCAGCACGTTCAAGATTTCAGATATGACGATCCGCAACTGGTTTGGCGATGGCGCATCTAGTTACGTTGCGGATATGAACTGCAGCCAAGGTTCGGGCGGCTGTGAAGACATCACTATTGAGGATGTTGACTTGAAGAATACTACAACCGGGGCTGATGTTACCAAGTACCGGTGCCGAGATGTTGACTCTGTACATGGCTTTGAATGTAGCTGAGTACTTCGAAGAAACCTGAAAAACATGACCATGTGGGGTGATGGCATGTTTCAACACAACTGGCTACACTGTTATCAAGATAGTCTGATATACACGCGATCTAAAGCTTGCTCCATATCTCTGTCGTAGTATCAATAGAATAACGATTATTCTCATCTGATGATAGTTGTAGGTATTTATTTCATGGATCATTCATCAGGTAATAATCTGAAGTCAAGCACGAAACTCTGACGTTCAACGTTCAAGAAATCTGCACACAATGAAGGTGGTTTACCCAAGCCCCTGAACACAAAAGAAGGCCTGATTCTTTAAGTTTTCTAACTTGAAGCCTTAATTTCGATGAGCACCTCATATTAGATTGAATCTGGATCTGGATCTACCTTCATCTGCCCGCATGAATGACGGACCTTGATGGACAAAGGATGGAAAGAGGGAATGTCATCCGGACGACGGACCCAACGTTAGCCGACGGGTACCTGCTGGTCCAAGCTCAACTCGCATTCAACCAGGTACGTTCCTATGCAGGTCCGGGGATCGTTCCGGGCACGTGGACCCGCACCCTAGGCTCTGCCCTCTGGCACCACGACAGTTTCCGACACCACCCAGCTCGTACCTGTTAGTCTTCTACCCCCGATTTGGCGCTTATCAGTCGAGATAGGCGAGTGGCATCCTAACAAGAACCTTGAGGGATCGTCGCTGACGTAGCGGGTCAGGTTGTCCAGGGCACCCATCGGAGACAGCTTCAGGAAGCTCTCTATCTACCTATCCGCAGCCGCACCTTCAGGCACCCGTGACCGTGTGACTCGCCAACGCATCACGTCAATCCGGTCTCGCCTCTCAGCATCCCCAGTCTCCTCCCCCGCAAGAAGGCGAAGCGAACGGGTTGTGGTTTTCTTTCTCCCCGAGCTCCTCAGCTTCTTCATTCTTCCTCTAATCAACCAAACCCAGCAACCACACGCAAACACCACAGCCATGGCGAAACACCGATCATCACCACCCTCGGTCCTTACGGCCGCGGCCGCAGCGGCAGTCCTCTACCTCCCCCTCGCCTCAGCCGCTCAACCTGGCGCCGCCTCCCCCGTCCCCGCCCCGATGCGCGACCTAACCTGGGGCCAGATCAACTTCCTCCACACCACCGACATTCACGGCTGGCTCGGCGGCCACCTCCTCGAGCCACAATATTCGGCCGACTGGGGTGATTATGTCTCCTTTGCCGAGCACATGCGCCGTAAGGCCGACGAGCAAGGCGTCGACCTCCTCGTCATTGACACGGGCGACCGCGTAGAGGGCAACGGCCTCTACGACGCCTCCTCCCCGAAAGGCCTCTTTACCTACGATATCTTCAAGGAGCAGACCGTTGACGTCATCTGCACGGGCAACCACGAGCTCTACCAAGCCGACGCAGCCCAGCGCGAGCACGACATCACGGTGCCGAATTACAGAGAAAACTACATTGCGAGTAACCTCGACTACATCGACCCCAAAACGGGTGACCGAGTCCCGCAGGCCAAGCGCTACCGCAAGTTCAAGACAAAGAACCAAGGGCTCAACGTTGTTGCTCTTGGCTTCCTCTTTGACTTCACGGGTAACGCAAACAACACGGTCGTCCAGCCGGTGGAGGACACAGTCAAGGAGGAATGGTTCAAGACGATGCTGCGCGAGGAGAAGCCCGACCTATTTGTCGTCATCGGCCACGTTGGCCTGCGCATGCCCGAGTTTAAGGCCATCTTCACCGCCCTGCGCAAGGAGGCCTGGTTCGCGCCCATTGCCTTCTTCGGCGGTCACGCCCACGTCCGCGACGCGCTCTCCTTTGACAGAGAGGCGTACGCCATCGCCAGCGGTCGGTATGGCGAGACCATCGGGTGGATGTCCGTCAACAACGTCAAGAAAAAGTCAAAGTCGGCAGACGAGGTCTTGGACGAGGCCGCGGCATCAGTCTCCTTTACGAGAAAGTACATCGACAACAACCTGCTAGGCCTCTACCACCACACCGGCCTCAACGAGACGACCTTCCCGACAGAGCACGGCAAGAACGTCAGCAAGCTCATCACCAAAGCCCGCAAGGCCCTCGACCTGGACTACAAATACGGCTGCGCGCCCCAGGACCTGTGGGTTAACCGCGCCGCCTACCCTGGCGATAACAGCATCTTCACCTGGCTCGAGACGCAGGTTCTCCCGGATGTGATTCACAAGGATGACAGGAAAGACGTGCCGCGCTTGGCCATCGTCAACACGGGCGGCCTCCGCTTCGACATCTTCAAGGGCGCCTTCACAAAGGACAGCACTTACATCGTCTCCCCCTTCACGAGCACCTTCAAGTACATCCCCGACGTGCCCTACCCCGTTGCTAAGCGCGTCATCGACCTCCTCAACAAGGCCGGCAAGATTTTCCAGGAGACGGCGGGCACGAGCGACGTCCGATTCATGAACATACCCGAGATGATGTACCCCAAGAACGACATGGTCATGCTCAAGACCAAGGAGGAGAGCGCACAAACGGACGGCGAACCCCACCGCCTGGAACTCCGCCACACGCCCGCCGACAACCAACAACCTCTTTCCGACAATAATGATGACGACAAGTCCAAGAAGCCGGACCTCATCGGCGGCTACACCACAAAGGACGACATCGGCACCGACGGCGACGACACGGAACACTCCCCCATCACCTTTTACGAGGTCCCCAACTGCATCCAGACGGAGATCGGCTTCCCCAAAGAGGGCGAGCCGGACAAGGTGGACATAGTCTTCATAGACTTCATCCTGCAGTGGATCATTGTCGCGCTCAAGTTCAGTGGAGGCGAGTACAGCGAGAACGATGTGCTGAGCTGGTCAGACGAGACCCTGACGTACAAGATGGGCGAGTGGATCAAGGAGAACTGGAAGGGAGACTGCTGAACGGCATGGACTATTTCGTAATAGAGATGGATCGTCGCCTTGAGATGCTGATTGCTTGGGTTTTGTTTGCATTGTTTATTGAGACTGATTTTTAAGCCTCATGTAAATGGGACCACTCGGTAGGAGTTTTGTTTTGAAAGGGATCTGAGCCCCTACCCGAAATTTTTGCTTTTCACGGGCGGGTTGCAAACAAAATATGCTCTAGTCTAGACTAGACGAGACTTCATACTAGGATATGAAGAACGACACAGAGAGGCGAATTACGGGCACGATTGTAAGGTATGCCACATGGATGAAATGGCAACAGAGAGAAACTTTTACGTGGTAGACTGGCAATGAACAAGCATAAGACACACACACTCACCTACCACGTTGCGTCTAAACAAATACCGAGTCAGAATCCTGCTGTCACCTGGCACTGGGACCATTTGTGCTCGGTCGTATGTTTTCTGGGGACCTACTACGCTTAGTTCGCTGCTGTCGAGTGTGTCGACCGACCTGTCAGTGTCACTCACCCACCTGAAGGACGCAATCCGAACCTCGTATCGGGTACTCACCGGCAGACACGACCATCGTCCGGGGCCCGAGTCCATCCTCCCAAGACGGCGGGAGTCCAAGGTGCATGCAAGCGAGCGCGCGACCATGATAGCCCTCTGCGGCCAAAACCTCCTTTTTCCCGTCACCCCTTTGCATGCCTTCATCGTCTGCCGTGTACTACTGTGGCGTACGGCAGAGGCCGCGAGATGAGGCAAGCCACGCAAGCCAAAAGGCGATTTCAAGTTTGACAGAGATATGGTCATGAGAAGCACCCAGACGGGCATCCGTACTCGTAGCTTGGTCGAGTCTGGATCTCTCCCCAGTAGTCAGGAGCGTGTGTAAGATTTTTTTAAAATTTTCTCGGTTGTCCTTTTTCGAGGCCTTTCTAACCGACGATGGGAAAGCCCGAGCGAAGTGCATTAGTTGTGGTTAGCTGGTGCGGGCCGACCTCTTGTCTTCTTTAGGGGCAGGTGGCATCGCGGGCGGCGACGCTATTGACAGAACTGTCAGCTGAAGCGCTGCGCAAAAGCTGGAACCAAAAAAAGACAGATGCAAAGTTGTCCGACTTGAGCCTGGTGGGTTTTCCTTCAGTAATATGGGTGGTCGGGACCCAAGGGGGTAGACTATGGCGCCGTCGTCCTTTTCATGCGTTATGCGCCTCCTCCCTAGATCTGGGCCCTGACCTATTTCTTATTCTGGTCGTGCTGTAGGTAGTCTGTACCAAGAATCCAAGATAAGGGACGGCATGAAGAAGAAGCACGCTCTACCTTAGAATCTAGCGTGATCTTAGTATCGTAAGGTAAACAATCCACGCATGTGCTGGTACCAGCGTGTGGGGTGTTGTTCAAAAGGGACGAATGAATCGGCTCCCGAGTCCGCCCTTAGCAGGGCGGCTGCCCGCGTAAGGAGCATTGTCGATCCGGTGGAGGATTTCTTGTCCCTTGGATATGCCCACAGACTTCTGCAGGCAATACGAGAAAAAGGTGTCGTGCTCGTCCGTAGATCTTCATTGAAGTTTGGACACGTTTTGACGTCGACGATCCACCTGTGACGGAGAGATTCTGATGTCACTTCCCTGGATAGAAACGTGGATATGCTTTCCCACCTCGGCATCGAGTTCGTCGTGACGGAAGAAGGATCCTCGTTGGTCGGGGGTTCACGCAGTGTTTGGGCTTCTAGGGTGCCATCGGGCTCCATCAACTCCATGTTTGTTTCGTTTCGTCAATGGATCAACACGGCAGTGATGTATCAACCTGGCCTGGGGTACGGATAAGTTTCAAGGTCTTTCGTTGCTCAGATGGAGAAGCCGGCACAGAAAGAGCATGCAAGCTAAAAAAGAGCTTTTTAGTCCAGGGACACAGGGGAAACCCCTTTTTCTAGACGGTACGTACCGTTGGTTTGGCATCGCATCTCGTTTCGTCTGCATGGCCCTGGCTAAAATGCCCTCTTCTCTCCAACCCCCCTTGCCTAGGTATTTACCCCCCGAATTAGCACCAAGCCTAATAAGCTTCGGGCAATCCAAGAATTTTAGGTACGGTGAGTATCTCGAGTAATGTACCTTTCAGTCGGCCGAACTCTGCAGGAATGCAGAACCCGCAGACATTAAATCTGCGGCCGGCGGTGGGCTAACGAAAGATTTTTGAATGAGAGAAGCCGTAGAAACTTCGAAAAAGAGATGAGTCCGCGGGTGTTGAATCTCGCAACACCCATGATCCTGGACTCTATTGAGGTGGTATTTTCCGGGGGATTGCGTCTTATCAAACTGTATGTTGCTTATCGTGGGACTTCCAAAGTGGCCCATCACGCGTTCTTGTCCAATGCCTTCGCGGTTGAAATCGCATAAGGGTCGTTATGTCCTTTTTTCCCAGGGGTCTTGGTCGTGTCTCCCTTTGCAGGTCATCCAAACTTCGTCACAACTCGAGCCCGGCTTGGTGCGAGTGTGGGTGCGAATCTGGATGAAGTGCCCACGACCTCCTTGCAGCTGCAGCGAAAAGGATTCCATTTTGTCCCCCCTTGAACCTTCGGACGACCTCCCCCACTCGAGCTGTTGACGTGCGCGCGTGGAGGCCCTGCCCCCGATAATATGAAGCTACGTCAAAGGGGGAAAAGTGCGAAATTGCACACACAATGGCCAATACGGCCACCAATCCCCAGCGGGGGGGACGTGTGCAGCATCGTTGTGTGTCGCGCTCTCACCGGGCTGCCGTTTCATTAAACACCAATCCAAAGAGGGAAAATGTGCCTGGGAGAGGGCCTGTTCTCATCTCCACACTGTAGTCGGTCGTTGTCCACCCCTCGTTGGCGACAGCGGCGACGTTGTAATAGCTCGGTCTGCTCCGGTTGAAGTCCCCATCGCAGGTTCGTTTCCTTAGACTTTTGTTTCCCATCGTTCCTCGTCTCAGCCCTTCACGGTCGTCCACCATCTCTTCGCTCTTTCTCGACTCCTTGCTGGTGGCTACTGTAGACTTGTTTTGCAAGGGATCGATATCAGTCTCATCGCTCTTTATCACATACATCCCGCCAAGAGAGACTCACCACACTTGTTGCTTTTCCGCTCAAAAACTCCAGCCCTCTCTCAACCTTGCCTCGATCCAGCATCCACTCCACCGGAGCTCTGCCCTGTCCACTGATCTGGGCAGCTCGCCCATCCTGGCCTCTCTCTTCGGGACGTTATTACTGCTGGGCCCCTGATCTTGTGACGGATCAACTGTCTTGGGGCCGCGAATAAGGATCGTCGCCCTTGTCCATCACCCAACGCTGCCTCCACAACTCGAGTACTTTCATCCGGAAAAAGACGCGACATGGCCCGTATGCAATAACCACCACCGCTCTTCCTCTCTTTTCACGACACCATTGTTCCTGCTCGGTCGCCTTCCACGCCTCCGAGTGCTCGACATTGGAGCCGTGGCAAGCCCTCTTCACCAACTGTTCAATTCCCTCGAACTGGTTCTTCCTTCATTTCGCATAGCCAAACTTTCTCAATTATTGACCTGGGCGTCCATTGCCGGGATTGGGGCCATTTTATCACTCTCTGTGCATAGCTCACAGCTGTTTTATGCCCTTATTTTGTTCTGTATGCCCCTCACCAACCCCTCCATTTCGCTTCAAGGGCCGATCCGACTGACCAACGCAGTTCCTTGATACCCTCTTCATAACGCAACCATGGTGTCTTTTTTCGGGCTGAAACTCGGGGCCGATAAGAAGAAGTGCGCTCCCAGCTCTCTGTCGTGGCAATGCAAACTGACTTTGTGTGAAGGAAACCTGCTGAGAAGGCTGACATGAAGCCTCAATGGAAGAAAATTGATCAAAACACACTTGGTCAAGGGCAATTCTTCGGAAAAGATCTGGACCGTCCTATTCTCATCAACGGATCCCGCCCAGGCACAGCCATGTCGAACAAGAGCTTCGCTGCCAACTTTCGTCATCCGAATGCGCCGTACCTCAATGGCGGCTCATCTTCTCTGGTCGATCTTGGTGCACCTGGCGTCAAGGGTATTCGACCTGTTGGATCCGAGGCTAATTTGAATATGCGTTGGAACAACACTTCTGTGACCAGCTTGAATAACATCGCATCTCCACCGGTCATTACCGGTGGCAATGGAGCAGGGAGCAGGCCAGGAACACCAAACTCGGGCCGGGCCAAGGCTTGGGTCAACCCTCTCGACGTCCACTTTGCCCGTGATGGTGCTGGCCCTAGGAGCGACGGAGCTCTCAGTCCAGCACCGAGTGCTGCGCCGAGCGGGTATCACTCCCCGAACAATATATCTCCTCTTCCCACACCGACCGCAGCCAACGCACCTCGAAGCCCACTTGGGCAGTTCGAATTCAACCTGAACCCGTCCGAACCGTCAAAAGATGACAAGCTGACTCCGGCTCCATTGTCACCCAACAAGGCCTTACCTTCGCCTCCTCAATCCATCAATGGTTCGCTCCCGCCATTGAGGACAGACCTCAGACCGAAGACAGCAGTCACTGCTGTTCGTGAAGCTCATAGGCCGCGGCCAGCCGCACTTCCGTCCCCAACGGCGTCAACAGGACGCTCCAGCGACGAGGACCATTTCTATCCCAGGCCAATCATTCAGAATGTTGCCGCAAAGAGAGACACCCTCACTATCACCACGCCAAGGAGGCAGAGCTTTTCCATGGATATCGACAATGACCCTACTGGACTCGACTTTGGTATGGTGGAACGAGGACGGACACTAGAGCGGGAAAGCCCGATTATTCCAATAAGTCCTGTTATACCAGTTAGCCCACCACCAAGAAGCGCCAGGCGACCGCGTCCACCAGAAATGAAAATTCTGCCGCAACCTCCCAGGAGCGCCGGATTGCCGCCCCCAAGACCGCAGCAGGTGCCGTATGAAGGACCGCTGCGAAGCCCTGCCCGGCCTCTGGACGATTGGCCCCCTGCTAGACAGCGTCAGGATTCGGATGCTCGAGAGATGATCTCTCCGACCAGGGATGGGGAGCGTGCCCAGTACGATAGCCGTGAACGACAAGGCCCAGAACTCAGAGAGAGGAAAGACTCCGGTGGTCGATCTCGCGACGATCTTCCTTCCCCTCCTCAGGGATACCTTGGACCCCCGCCGACCTCGCGACGGGTCGCGCCAGGCGAGGGCGAGCGGAACTACGGTGTCACACCTGCAAATCGTCGACAGCCTCCGCCGCCCGTCGAGCTTCAGCGTAAGGCGTCAAACCCGCAGCAATATCAGCCGCCAAGCTGGGATGATCGGGACGTCCACCATGGAAACTTCGCAATGGTGTCACCTCGCATGCAGTCGCCGCAACCGCCCACGCCGAACAGCTTGATTCCCGAGGCCTCAAACGATGCGAATTGGCCGTTGCCGAGCCCGTTGGCAAGCCCAACATTCGGAAGTCAGAGACCGCAGACGCCGAAAGAAAAGACAGAAGCTCAACAGATGAGTTCGCCGCCAGTGCTTCCTCCGCCTCGTGAGCAAGGTGACGCGAGACGTCCAGATTTTGGATTGAGAGCTCCGACCGGCATTGCAGATGAATTCAGGGTAGGATTCATCTAGACTTCTATGAATGTGTCAGCAAATGATGCATCCCATCACGCCGCTGGAGTACATTAGATATACCAGAGACAGGATACATCTTGGGAACCTTGAGTTTGACGACGGAGGGCGGAAATATTGCTTGGAATTTTTTCTTTGTCGGATCATTTGATGCTGGTTGGAGAAACAGAATGGCGAACGGAGCGAGGTTTAACTTGGAGTTTGGTTCCTGAAGTAGTTATAAAATGATAATGTAATCATTCAAATTAAGGCCAGGACGGTCGTGGCTTCCATTTTCAAGTACCAAATTAGGTAAATTTGGATACCTGAGTTCGGTATTCTGTAACGGAACCCAAGGTGGAAGCACCGGCCGGGCGACAGGTTACCTACCTTCCTTACCTTACGGCATCACGTCCCGGCCAGAGGAACTTGGTGGCTCCTTCCTGTCCTCCACCATCACACTTCACTAGGAGTGCTGTGGTTGACCGTGAAACAAGGACGACGGAAAGCTTGAAATTTGAAGAAAACTCTCTCCTTGGTTGTCTTATGCCAACGTGCTTAGCAGAAGACGTCGGAAGGGCCTCGTGAGACAGGAGCATTCGGCGTTGTTCCTTCCCGACTCGACCGCAGGACTGCCAACCGCGGTGGCGCCGTTATCGTTGGGGATTCACCAGGGTTTCCGCGCTAAGCTCTAAGAATAACCTACGAGCCAAGGTACCATAATCGGCGGACATAGCTCAGTTGGGAGAGCGTCAGACTGAAGTTAACTTCAATCACTTAATCTGAAGGTCGTGTGTTCAATCCACACTGGCCGCAAATCTCTTTTGATTTTTTATTCCTCATAACATCCGGGTAGGTTTGTTGGTAATAGCCAGCAGACAACATGCTTTTTCTCTCTGCTGGCAACCTCGTGGGCTTTCCTCAAAGGGACACATGACAGAGTAAAAAGATAGCTTATGGACCGCATCACAACTTCCTGAACAGATTGGAAGCCAACGTACGGATATAATACGGTGTTCGACATTCTGCTGTTTCTGGTAGCGGCATTTATGTAAAATTGTACGTCAAGCCACTAAGAGAGCGTTCATGAGCACAAACTCGTCATCCAAGAACATCTCCTGACCAGCCCGGCTTGCACGACATATCCCTTCGCATCTTCATACAGGCCAAGTCCAAGATCTTCTAGACTCGCGACAAACCACAATAGACGCCCCCGGGCAGCACCCACATTACGTGTAGATCGGACTACGCAACAAGCCTGGCTCAGCTGTCACAGCTCAGTCGAAACAGGGGAAAATGCGGGGGGCTAAGGAGCGAAGTAACGTCAGAGAACCGTGAGGCTCTCTCTCTTTAGTCAGGACTCCGGGAAGAGCTCTCTCTCTCTCTGTGTGTGTCTCTCCATCTTCCACTTCCTCAGGAGCCAGCGCATCCGTGATTCGACTCCTTGTGCCCGCCCGCCGCACCTCGAAGCCTGGGCGGCTCGGTAGACATGGGTTTCCAAAACATGTCCCGCTGCACGTCCAACACCCGACCGACGGGAGGCGGGTCCGGTCGCGCCTCCTTTCTCCCCCGAAAAATAGCCATGAATTGAAGCTTATAGACGCCTCATCAAGGGGGGTCTAGCAAGGCTGGTAGCGTGAGATGCGGTGGTCCTGGATTGGTTCGTTCGAATTGTTTGCCTTGTTGCGGAGTACCTTTTAAGGTATACAAGGTTTCCCATCACACCCGACCAGGGGTGACGAGGTAGGTGTCATCCAACAAGGGGCGGAAGAAGAAGAAGAAGGAACCCCATGTCCGTGTTTGAGATTTTCCGGACGACGGGCATGCCATCTAAACTTCCGATGTAGCGGAATGCTTGTCGTGGGTGTTGGCCAAGATCGGATGTCTGACGCCCAGCCGTCTGGTCTCGTTGGACATGAGCAACTGGCGCTCTTGCTTGGCTGGTGAACGTATTGTGGCGCATCCTACCGGACGGTACTTATGGGCGGAATATTGTAGGCGAGATGGAGGGGAGTATAAGGATCGGGACCATTCTTCGAGCTGAGCATGACTATTTCCTTTTCCTCTTCAATCACTGTGTGATCCAAGTCGGTGGTCTCTTTCTTGTCCGTAACCTTCATTTCAGTGCTGTGCACTTTTCGATTCGGTCAATCCCATCTTTATTCTACCTACCTGTAATCCTTCTCGTTCTCTCCTAGGTGTTTACAGGAAAGCGACCCATAACCTCAAAATGCGTTACACAACCATCACCCTCCTTGTTATTGGTCTCCTCACAGGCAATGCCTTGACTGGTAAGCCACCGGCTCAGCCTTTCTCCATACATCCTCCTCTCAAGAAAGAGCTTGCAAAACTAATATGCATTTTGTACAGCACCTGCTCCTCAGTTCGGCGGTGGTGGCGGCGGCTTCGGAGGTGGCCGTGGCGGCGGTGGTGGTGGCGGTGGTAGAGGTGCCGTAGGTGGTGCAGGCGGCGGCGGTGGCGGCCGAGGAGGCTTCGGCGGCGGTGGTGCTGGTGCTGGTGCCGGAGCCGGAGCTGGTGCTGCTGGTGCCGGTGGTGCTGGAGGAGCTGGCCGTGGAGGCGGCGGTGGCGGCGGCGGCGGCAACAGAGGTCAGAATGCCGGCCAGAACGGAGGCGGCAACAACGCCGGCAACAACAATGCCAATGCCGGCAACGCGAACGCCGGCCAGAACAACAATAACAACAACCAGGATGATGCCGCTGCGGACGATGCGGCGGCTGATGCCAACAATGGCAACGCGAACAACAATAACCAGAACAATGGCAACAACAACAACAACAATAACAACCAGGACAACGCAAATGATAATGCGAACGCCGACGACAATGCCAATGCTGATGACAACGCCGATCAAGCAGCGGACGCGGACGCGGCAGCCGACTTTGTTGGCCTGGCTTGCACCGATGGAACTGGTGCGGGCGCTTGCCTGGCAGACGGCCAGTGCGACGTCAATGGCGACGTCAAGGTTGTCGCAGGTCAGTGTGGCCAGGCCGCTGCCGACGCCTAAGAGCAGGCGGTGATATTGTTGTTGGGTGTAGCCAGATGATTAGTTAATGGAGGAGGTTTCTGTATATCGTGTCGTGGCTCTCACCTAGTGATTTTGAAAGGTCCATAGTGTTGAATGTAGATGCGGATTGGAAGAAAAAAAAGAGTTCACTACCGGTGTGGCTACATCTCTTGGTGCTCATCTTGGAATTCGAACTCGGATACTCGTATGTGCTGAGCCTGTCGTCGAGTAGGCTGGTTGGCGTATGGATTGATTATTGACCATAAACCACTCCTCGACCCAGCCAGTTTGCCCTGAACCTTCGACCTAGACGGACGCCTCCTGGCTGGTGACTGGAATGAAACTGAGGGGACCTACATGGGACTTCGTGTATATATTAAGGTGATGGAATACGTTGGCATATACATCACCCTTCCTTCCTTCGGCTATTCACTAGGCACTGGCAGTGTTTTCCTGTCAATCTCGTTGAGCTGCAGTCACGGATGCTTCTAATGCACACAATCCGGATACCTTTTGAAATGCTGAATCGAGAAGAGTGGTATTACATGACTTGCGTCCCTGCCGTCTACGTGAGATTTAGTTCTACATATTGTACAATCTGGAAGCCTTTCTAGCTCAGATGAATCTTGATGGCCTCGTAGCAGCCAATATACAGCCCGCCACCAAAACCCGCCGCCAAGACCGTCACTGTGGCCCCTCTAAACAATCCTCGAACGCCTTCTTTCAAGACGATCCCCTTGGCCACCGCAATCGGGCCAATCTTTGCACGGGGAGAACCAATCGACGTCTTGGACGGCCCATTCTCGCCAGTCACCTCTCCGCCAGCCGCGAGCCTCATCCTCGTCTTGACGACATCGATGGGCACAAACAAGCTCGACGACGCGCTCCCGGCAGCAGCAGCGCACAAACCGCTCGCGAGAACCTGCTGCGACGCGCTCCTCTCCCGACTCTTGCCCTCCCCTCCGAGGAACCGTTCCTTGAGAGTCTCGTAGAGACAAAATGTCAACGTGGTATTGGGCAAATCACTCGCCACGAGCGCCGTATACCCAGCCCACAACTTGGTCGGCTGCTTCGCGAAACGCCTCAACGTGTTCATCGTCGGAGATGTGACCTTGCCGCTGCCAACGCCTCCACCTGAATGAGAAGGCTCTCTCCTGTACACCTGCGCATTCTGCTTCAACACCTCGGCAGGGTTCGTAATAGCACAGCTAACAAGACTCGCCGCCGCGCCGCTCGCCCCGTACAGGACAGGCAACGGCACGCCCGCCAAACGGCCCTCCTCTTTGGCGCGTAGCGCGTAGCCCTTGAGCCCCTCGTAAATCGTGAAGAAGGCCGCCGACGACGGTATGCTGGTGATGATGGTGGGGCCGAACCCCTGGTACAGCCCGAGGAAGAGCGTCCGGCTTACGGCGCCATTGACGGATTTGTACTGCGTCGTGTACATGGGCGATTGCATCCGTGTTATGAGTGTGTCCATGGGATGAATGAGAAAGTCCACGCTTAATGTGGCTCCCGCTGCGGCCTGTAATTTCTGGTCAGTTGAGTTCTCTGATGGAAGCTTCTGAAGGTTCTCAGATTGGCTGATTGTGAGGTGAACTTACCGCGACGACGGCCTCCATCCCAATGGCAGACGACATTCTGGCCACCAAATGCTGGAGAGCAACGGAGGGCTTCTTGTTTTATGAGAAGTTTCGGTTTCCATGCATTTTAGTTTTCTTCTCCCCCTCCCTGATGAGCACGTGGTTCATGGACACCGAGTTCCAATAGCGCGCCTTGATGAAAACTGGAGGTGAGGTTTTTTGGTGCCTCAGTATCTCCAAGGCAGCGGTGCCCGAGGATTCCGCGCCACTCGCCTTAGATTTCAGGTCTGCACTGGCACAATCAGCAACAGGATCAATCCGGGACATTGATGATCGGTGGGACGAATGAGTAAATGAGCACACTCTGGACTGAGAATATTGAAAACTTCTTGTCCATCTGCTGCCCGCGAAAACAACTCATCGTCTGGTCCAGTTACCCTAGTCGCCTATACATTCTCCTCACCGAGAACGTTATCATTCATTCGGAGCCTGTAGCCCCAAATTATTGGTAAGGACCACTTCTTTGCCAGAAAACAGGGTCAACTTCTTGCACTCTGCATTCTTTGCCTGCATTGTCCAGATGAGAGAGGCTACAATGATCAAAGGCCTTTCAACAGAAAGAACATGGGTAGAGTATTCAAAAGCTCTGGTAACGCAACAATGAAAGTGATTCAGTGACAATGACCTTGTCTTAGATACACATCCCTCAGTCTATATAATGCCGTTTCTCATGCTCACTGAAATATCACTCCTTATCACAAACCATCAAAACCAACCAACCCGCAGGGTAACAACGTACACTACACAGGATTTATCATAATAACCCCAGCTAACCAAAAATCATGTGTGGTATCAAACAAATCGTCGACCAGTGCAGAACTTGCTACGGCATCATCTCCAAAGAAGAGATCCCCACCATATGCCACAAGAGAACATGGACGCTCCCCGAAACCTTCGGATACGCAAAGGCATACTGCCCAGACCAAGGAAGAGTATACCTCGACAAGAAGCCAAGAATTAATCAATGCCCGGTATGTTACCGGGAGTCATTAGATATCACAAAGGGATTGGACATGCCTTGCCACCAGCGATCAGAGAGCAGTTTGGGCACTTGCTCGCTGTCGCACGGTCTGGACCAGATCCGATCGACGAGCCCCTGGCAGAACGCCAGTGTCCTCAATTTACCGGCAGAGAAGGAGTCAAAAAGCGTGGCTGAGAAGGTGAAGGGGTTCTTTGGTAAGTGTCTTTCCAAGGTGATTCCTGGGGTCGGCAAGTCCTCGCAGTCCTCTTCGCCTTGGGCGGCTCTCGACCAGTGGGAGGATATTTGTGGTGATGAGGATACCAATGACAAGAAGAAGAAAAAGAAAAAAGCTGCGTCGATACCGACCGTAACGAGGGTGTGAGTGCTTTAGAAAGAACGAGGGGATGGGCTGCCTCCCATCTCGTATCCCTCCTGCAAAGTAGAATTCATTTTGCATATCTGTTCACAAGGCTGACCAGTGAATTTCGTTTTCCACTTGCTTATCTAGTGGTCAGCTCCCTCTCTCTGAAGAAAGTGACCTCGCTTCTAAAGATAGAATGCAGCGCAAGTCCCCTGCTCTACCGGATAAGGCCTTGAGGCGACTCTGTGTAAGTCATGCTTAGATCCTGAAATCAAGCTGGCATCTCCCCATATGACTATTCAGATGCTCATCCATAGGGTTTATCTACGATGGAGACCTGTCCACTGACCAAGAGGACTACCTGCATCGGTCCCGGATCGGCCCCAACGAGATCAACACACCCAATCATCAACTGCCAGGGCTCTCACAAGGTGCGTTCGTCCCATCAAAAAGGCACAGAGCCAGGACGACAAATCAATCAAGTGACGGGCCCGGGTAGTTGCAGATACACCGCGAATCTGGGATAGGAAACCCGAATGCGAGATGCGAACAGGGCGCAATCCTCCGTATTCGCACCGAATTGCAACCGTCGTACACTCATGATCCAAGTGCACTACAACCTCATGGCTCAAGCGTGGAGCTGTGATCTGCAGCCAAAGGCCACTACCCATGACCAGAATTGCGCATCATCTAGGAAACTTTTTGCCTAGAGCAGACGACAAGACAATGAGGGTCCTCGGACATCCATTCATAGCTTAGGAGCAGCATTGGCGACTATTACCCACCCTGCGTTGAGCGTCGATTCTACCAAAAAGTTCCATAAGAAGCACACATGGCAATGAAGAATTCATCCTCATAATAAGCACAGCGACATATGCAGCAAGTCAGGGCCAGTGAACCGTGCCGCACGGGATGATCCTAGGCCAGATACCCGGGCCTTCTGAACTATAAGGAGTGGAGTGGAAGCGAGCCGCAAAGCGGGGGGATTCCCATGAAGATTTCGCGGGGGAGGTTCCATGAGATAGGGTACGGAGTAGACCAATCCTAAAGCAAGAGAATATGACAAAAAACCAAGTAGCCATGAAACCCCAGGCAATCTTACGAACATTGCATTGTCCCCAAAACCGAATACGATAGCACACCATAGTGTTCCAGGGGTAAGAAGAGAAAGAGTCCTAGAGCGATCCACGGGCACGTCAACGGCGCCGAGGTCAGCGCCCAATCGAGACGTCTCTTTCCTACTCCCCCCACCAAAGATCGCCCCGCAACAGCCCCTCCTTCCGTCTGACGATACAGAGCTCTACATAAATGGCCCACGGCGGCGACCTTCAATGACGCACGTGGAGGAGCTCACTCTCATTTGAAATCAAGACCTTCCAACTCACTCTCACTCTCATTCCTCACTTACAACTCACTCACGACTCACGACTCAATCACGCAATCGGCTTCACCACTTTATCAATCTTATTTAAGCTTAAGCTTAAAACTTTTGCAAAAGTTAGAACAGCAGAACCAAACCTTCAAGGTCTCATCCCGCAATCTATCCGCACTCGGGCCAAGCCCCTCCCCTCACACAGACACCCGTCACACAATTACACACATCTCACAGACACAATGGCGACCCGCCTTCCCGGCACGACCGTAATCGTCACCGGCTCCGGCGGCGGCCTAGGCAAAGCCATCGCCGAAGCCTACCTCGTCGCCGGCGCCAACGTCGTAATCTCCGACATTAACGAGGACCGCGTCGCCGCCGTCACCTCGGAATACCGCGACACCTACGCCGGCAAGCTCCACGGCATCGTCGTCGACGTCACCTCCGAAGACTCCGTCCAGTCCCTCATCAAGGGTACCGTAGAACGCTTCGGCCGCCTCGACGTCGTCGTCAACAACGCCGGCGTCATGGATAAGTTCGACCCCGCCGGCGACTGCACAAAGGAGACCTGGGACCGCGTCCTCGCCATCAACCTCACGGGTCCGTTCCTGACGACAAAATACGCCGTCAACCAGTTCCTCGCCCAGGGCGGCGCCAGCGGCAGCGGCGGGCCCGCGGGGCTAATTGTCAACATCGGCTCCAACGCCAGCTACCGCGGCCTCGCTTCCGGCATCGCCTACACGGCGTCCAAGCACGGCGTCATGGCCGTCACCAAGAACACGGCGGGCTTCTACGGCGACAAGGGCATCTACTCGGTCGCGCTGCTGCTGGGCGGCATGGACACCACCAACATCATGGACGCCTTCGCCGAGGGCGTCAACCAGGCCGGCATGGCCAAGGTCACTGCGGGCATGCCCGAGTACAAGCGCGGCGAGACGGGGCTGGACCCGGCTGCTGTGGCGAAGTACTGCGTCTTCTTGACGGATAAGGATATTGCGTCATCGGCGAACGGGAGCTGTGTCGTTCTCAACAGGAACTGGCCGCACGCCTGAGTCTGGCTTCTCTTCGTTGAGGTTTGGGGAAGAAGGCGGATCGCGGATGGGAAAAGAGCCACGAACATTGCTCATAAGCTTGTGATTGATGAGATGGGAGAGCAGCTTGGAGTAACCTACTTATAGGAAAGATACCTTATGAATGTTATTTACGATTGCCAAATGCCATCATCTGTGCTGGACTAATTGGCATGCCATCGAGACTGTAAAGTATCTGATCAAGTCAAAAAATATGATGGCGCTGCTCGCTCAGGCAGGATTCAATCACACTGGGACCATGCGTGACGATCAAAATCACTTGAGAAGCGAGCACTCATGCATGGTAAAGAGGTCAAAAAGAATACAGTCCCTACAAAGGCAAAATAGAAGATGCGGCCAGTGTGGATTGAACACACGACCTTCAGATTAAGTGATTGAAGTTAACTTCAGTCTGACGCTCTCCCAACTGAGCTATGTCCGCCACGATCTTCGAATCAGCGGGGCTGGCTGAAGGTTTAGGTTGGCTTGCGCAGCGGGGCTCGCTTCTCGTCCGCGAAATGTCCGCCTTCGGTGACGTGAAATTCGATGGCTAGGTATCGTGAATGAGGGCGTGGGAATGATTCTCAAATGGCCACAATACTTCACCCAGTGTGGCTGAATTCAAAAACTTTTGAAAATGGGTCAGGGTAGTAAATGGCACCAAGAATCGAGGGGTGCCACCCGTCTAAACTTCTAGGCCATTTCCCTGGTCAACCTGATTCTCGACGGTACAGCAGCTGGCCAGACAACGTCACCTCCCATCCGGGTAAAATCACAGTCAGTAAGTGAGGAACAGTTGCGGGAACTCCAACTTTGCCTCGAGAGAACATATTACCATCCTGGAACCGGCGGGTGGAAGACGATCCCATCACAATCAGACTAGCATCCCAGGCGACCACGAAGGGTTCTATCCATCAAGTTTCGAGATCCTTATTTCGGCGCAATATCGCGACTAAAGGTTTGCCAATCGGCAGCATCGCCGTCGTAGGCCCGATTCTCCGGTGGCAGATGGCTAGAGATATCCCAAAGGCACAAGCTTCATCCTTGGACACACCTATTCGAGCATTTGACATAACCACGAAAAGCTTCTCTGGATGCATAGCTCTCGACACCGCGTCCTGGCCTCCATGACGCCTTTCCAGTCCTTCGTCCGTGTGAGCTTCCTTCTTCCATATCTCGTGAACGTCGTCCCGGACAACTTCCTATCCCTAAAATCCCATTTGCTGAGATGGTTTTCCCAAGATGAGACTGGATCCTTACCGTGATTAGACAAAGAAAACTCCACGCTCGATGCTCGTCCCATTACTCCTCTGCTTCTGACCCGATAGAAAGCCACTCACCCATCCCCTGGCAAAAGTCCAACCCTCTTATCCCGCTCGTCTCTAAGATGCTTGTCCTCTCCCTCCAACAACATCTTCTCCTCCACAAACGCAGCGTCACCAACCCGGAACTTTTCTCTCATTACCCCTTTCTCCGTCACTATGTCAGACCCGGATCCGGACCCGGGCCTGGGCTTTAGAGGCTGTAATGGCAGCCGCCGTGGCGAAGAAGATGACGCCCGGGCAGGCAAGACCATCACCTCAGCCGGCCACAATATCCGCCTCGCCTCATCCTCGCCCAACACCTCGCCCTCGTCCTCTGAGCTCTCATCAAACGCAGACACATCGCCGCCTCTCCCAGGCCCACGCCCAGGCGACGAAGGAACCGCCAAGAATACACCCGTCACATTCTCATCCGTACCCTGCGTGCGAACCAGCTCATTTCCCAAATCATTGTCAGAGACAGCACCCTGAACAGCCTCCGCCTCCGCCTTCATAGCATCCGCATCCCCCTTGGGCACCTTATTCTCCCCCGCCGCGACAACATCCATAGAAGTCAACTTCATCAACGTCCTCAACCTCGCGTCCCCGACGAACCTCCCCATCAAGGCCCCCTCGTTCTCCCGAAACGTCTCGTAAAACCTCCGATTCACCATCGCCGCCGCACGCAGATCCTCCACGCTATCCACGCACCTCTCCAAGATCAACAATCGTGCCGTGTCGGATCTCTCGAGAACCTTGCCCCGTTTCTGGTCCTGCTCTTGCCCCTCTTCCCGATCCAGCAGCTCCAGAACTCCCTGCCCACTCTGGAGAGCAACCTTCTTCCCATCAGAGAAACTCCTCAGCCCCCTATGCAAAACAGCCTGCGGCTGCGTAGACTGGTGCCTGGATAGGCCCCAACCGTGAGCTCGTCCACTGACATCGTGTAACGTCAACCCAGAAACGCTGTTATAGATATCATTAATTGCCGCGCGAAACGCCGGCACGGGATCGCATACCCCGCCCTTGTGAACCGCCAGCGGCGGACTGGCAATGGTCCGCAGTAAGTCGACGAGCTGCGCCAGGCTGCGACGGGGTGGTGAGTATTGCTGCTGCTGGGAGCCAGCTGCCAGGTGCCCGAGAACTGACTGGTTCATGATGGTGGGCAGAAGCTCGAGCTCGCCGTAAAGGAGCATCAGCCAACCCAGATTCGTCGCGTCGCAGCTGTGGCTCCCCTTGGGACACCTGGGCGTGCTGGTGAACATCAAAGCCGAGTTGGCAGCCGTATTCGTCGTGGACGCGGACGCTACTTCAGCGGAAGACGAATTTGAGCCCGGTGGCGGAACAGCAGCACCACCACCACCACCCTCAACAGCACCACAAGGCGGCCTCAAATACTCCCGAATCGTACTCACGCAACACTCCTCAACCTGCGCCATCTTCGCCCCCCTAACGCCCCAAATCTTCTCTTTAATCCGCCTCGGCCACGCCACCATCCCCTCCAACTCGTCCTCGTCCACAAGGTTCAGAATCGCCGTCTTGGACATGCGCGTAAACAGCTGCCGGAACCCGAAAGCATAGCTAATCAGCAACCAGCCCCGCGGCATCGCCTCGCTGCCCCGGTGGATCCACTGCGGCAGCCACCGGTGCTCGACAAACAGCTCCAGCGGCGACGTGCACCGGTACCGCAGGCACACCTCCGCGATGGCGACCAGCTGCTCAAACGTCACCTCGCGCGGGACCTGGTCATTGTGCATGTGCGCCGCGTGCAGGAGGATCGTCAGCGCCTGCTCGCGGTCGCCTTCGCGCTGCGGCATGCGGTAGAGCTTCGCCTCGGTGCCGTCGGGGCAGATATACGCCGTCGGCGGCGGCGCGAGCTGGTCCGTCAGGTCCTCGTCGTCGTGGACCTCAATGTGCGCGTGCTCGGTGAACATCCTCTCGAAAATGGGCGACGTCTCGGCTAACAAAAACGATGAGACGCGGTACCGCAGCACAGGCAGCGCTTCCTTCGCCTCGTCATCGGCTCCTCCGATATTCGCAAACTCGAGAACGGCGTCCCCGCGCGGCGCGACGTCGAGGTCTTTCACCGGCCTCTTGTCCGTGACGCCCGATTCACCCAGCTGCAGAACCCGCGTGAGCTCGACGAGATCCTGCTTCGCGCGGTCGTGGTTCCTGAAGCGTATGTCGTAGAGCGGGAAGAAGTCTGGGCTGGGCGAGAACGTCTTGACGATGCTAGCCCTCCTCATCTGCTGGATCGCGGCGGCGCGAAAAGCCTTATCTTTGAAGAGCGACTTCACCATGCTCGGCGTGGCGTCGGGCTCGTAGTTCCGGTACGTCTCTGACAGCGAGAGCTCGAGCGCCTCGATCAGCGACTCGATGCATCCCTTCCAGTCGCGGACGACAGACAGGCAAATCTCACGTATCGGACGTGAACCTGCGCTCTGGCCGGTCGTCACTTCCGAAAGATTCCTCCCGCTAAACGAAGACCGAGTCAATATCGACGCAGGGCTCTGCGGCACCTCAAGCGAGGACTCCCGTGACGGTCCGCGGCCTCCCTCCGCCCACGCCGTCGCCGCCCCGGTCGCCTGCCCCAGCGGCCCGGGCGCGGGTGTGGAGTTGCGCAACAGGGCCCGACACAAGGCTACATGATCCTTAACTTTGGCGTATTCTTTATAAGCAGCATCGGCGTCCTTGCTCGCGAGCGTCGAGCCGACGCGTTGCGTCAACTGCTGAATTTGGCGAAGTTGGACGTCCGAAACGCTCACGGTGCCGCTGCCGCTGCCGCTGCCGCTGCCGCTGCCGTAGCCCGCGCCGGCGGAGCTGGACCCACGGGACGAACCATGTCCCCCGTCAATCGGGTCCCCGCCGCCAAACTCAAAATCGCCAAGTCTCTGTCCTTTTAGTGTAAGCGGCGTCCGACAGCTCGAGCGTCTCATCGCCATTGCAAACCCGTCAGAGACGGAGGAAGTGCAGTGAGCCGGTGGGTTAGTAGTTGAGGAAGAAGGAGAAGGAGAAGGAGAAGGAGAGGAAAGTGAACGTGCAGTAGTGTGGGCACATTTCCGGGGGTTGTGGAGATTTTCAAAAACTCACTGTACTGCTAGACCTACTACCATCATCCTTTGCCGAGCTGATGCTCGATATCTTGCGCAGCGCATTGCTCAACCGCCTAATCTTGGGAGACGTGGTCGAGGCAACATCGCTCTGGCTGCGTTGGCGTCCCATCACTCAATTGACCCAAGCTGCTGCGACCCAGATGCGATGCGATGCGGCAGCGGCAGCGGCAAGGGGGGCGGCGGTCCGAACCAATGATGCGCGAAAACGCAGGGATCACTCATTTCCCAAACATCCAACGATCTGAGGGAGGGGGTTGATGAAATTAGAGGAACTCGCAGCTTAAAGGTGATATGTTGTCGCTCAGTGTAGTATAGTATCTATCCGTATACTTGGGAGCCAGACACGGGATGGACTGCTTTCCGGTTCTCAGAAACAAGAAAAATGGCAGCGAAACGGGACGGTCTTCAGACTGCGTTTCATGGGCCACTGATGAATGGCTTCTGCCTGGGGAGGGGGGGGGGATAAGCAGCTGCATCCTTGGGGAAAGGGTAAAGCTCAGGAGGGGGCAAAATACGAGGACGTTTTGGGGGCCAGCCGGCCGGCCAGGCCACGTTGGGAATTTTGCCTCTTGCCAAGCAGGGACCGCGGTGGCATTGTCATTGATTGCCCTGGACTGGACGCTCTGGAGTCTGGAGAGCACCGGCCACCTGCCTGAAATAAGGCTGATTGCGGGGTTCAAACCACTGCATTCCGATGACGTAATCTTGCGTCCCTTTCCGAGAGACCCTTATCCTGGGTTGCACAAGTTGGTTGTCAGTTACAATCAATACATAGCGATGGCTTCACTTCCACAGCAAGGAACAACGCCTGCACGTACACATGCAAAATGCTATGAAATAATGTCCTTTTTTAACGCTTCCCGTCTATCTGCTTACACTGACACTGATCATTGACGTCTTTTATCCACTCCTTTGATGCGGTCATGCTGGCTCCCTCTGCCAACTCTCTTTCAGAGACAGATGCCCAGCCATTACCCGCCGGGTATTTCATGACACTCGAAGCCGTCCTAAATACAGCCCTTGTTCCGTCATCATCCACACACCGTCTTGCTTCCTCTCCATGTACCCTATCCCCCATGGTATGACTTTGTTGACAAAAGGAAACTTGATGACGCATGCCTAACCGTGACCCATTTCGAAGACCGTTGCTGCAGATGCAATGAGACAAAAATAAAACCCTGCCGCCCGATATAACGCAACAGTGTTTCCACCTTTTTGAGACATCTCAATAGGGGGAGACGATAAAAAAGAAGACGTTTGAGGCATAGCAATGACCTCTCCAATTTCCATGCTTGAGCCAATACCGTCTCGCTGAACTGGCATACCTCTTTGTGCAATTCATCCATGTGTTGCTGTTTACAGATCCTCATGCTCATTCGCTGATCTGATGTTTTGTTGCTTTTGCAAGTTGTGGCCACCATCGAAAGGACTTGACCGCTACAAGTCCACCTGGTGAACGGTGTTCGTCTCCGCACTGACTCGATTCCCGAGGTCCCGCTCACAACCTTCATGCCGCAAGGGCATTGCAGAATGTCTGCTACAACTAATGGCCAAACACATTGCTCTAATCCAGAAGCAGAGTGTCCAATACTTGTGCATTGCCAAAGTTTGCAGTAGAGTAGCCATTCGCTTCTGCAGAGACCACTCGTCTCGCCTGTGCCCTATCCAAGAAAGCACGAGTAGCTTTCTGCCGTGCAGTGATAACCGCAGTCGTGTGCATTTGCGACGTGTTTTCCATGCCCTTAGCCGCCCTTTCGGTCTGCGTCGTGCTTGGGTGGCTGCTCGCTAGAGGCAGATCCGCCGTGGTTCTTCGTGTCAGCACCCTTTTTGCGGCCCTTTGTGGCCTTCTGCCATGAGCTCTCAGGTCCGTGGCTTTCGCTTTTGGCACTGCGTGTATGGCCATTCTCTCGAACGCCATTGACCCTTGGGGATTGGACCTGAGCCTGACCAGAGCTGTGTGACTGCGACTGAGTCTGTGCTGTCGCTTGGGATGAGCGCTGGTGGGCCGTTGAGGATCGCTTCGGCGAATGAGTAGATGCATGCCCTTGCTTGGATTCCTTTCCAACCGAGCCCTTGCTGTCGTTCGCTCTGTGTCCTGAGCCAGAAGGCTCGGCGTGAGCCTTGGGTGCTGAGCTTTGGGAACCTGGTGGAAGCTGATCAACTCTCGATGCAAAGTCATTCTTTCTCACAACTGTCGGTGAAGGAGATCTGGTCTCGTTGATTGGCGACAGGTGCTGTGCGTCAATGCTCAGCTGGTGACCATTCATCCTATTTTCTCGAGTTGCGAGATCAAGTGGCGCTATTACTCCACTCTGCTGTCTTGATAGCGCTCTCTGGCGAAGGGATGGCTGCGTGCCATTCGCGACATCTGGATATGGCTGCGATTGCACTTGAGCTTGTGGTGACCAAGCATACTGATTCATCGACATAAGAGCAATCCTGTCACGGAATGAAGCGTCGTCGATCGCCTGGGACGCAGACTGCTGCGGTGCAGAAACAGAGGCTGGTGAGGCCGAGGCGGTCGCATTGGTGGTCGACGATGGCGTGGTAGTACCGTTAACGATCACCGGAGTCCGCTCAGACACGGGAGTCTGAACTGGTTCAGACCTAGGAAAAGCTTGGCTATCCAACTGATCTGAGGCGCAGCCGCTGATGCCAAGACCTTGAACTTGCAGCGTGTGTTCCTGAGACGAACGGCCTTGGTCGTCAGCTGGGTTCGATTCCGTCGAAACCATGGCGGGGTTGTGACGTTGCGATGGCGTCGAACTCGTGCGAAGAGACGATCCAGTGCCGTTGACTATCAAAGGCCGCGAGGCTGCTCGGGGACCGTTTGTACTGCCAGACGCAACCACCGGAGCAGATGCTACCGAGCTACCTCCGCTAGAGAACGCCCGCGCATGGCCAAGGGGAGACGGTGAACGTGATGTTCTTCGCATTCTGCGGTCCAGAATAGTCTGCGGGACCTCGGTTGACAACCTGCGACGTCCCTGGGCTGGCTGAGTCGTGTCCGCAAAGGCTATGGCATTGGGCGCTACTTGGGAGTGCGCCGGGCTGGAGGCATCTGAAACGTAGTAACCCAAATAAGCTCCTTCGTCAGAGGCAGGCGAATTGCTCGCTGGGGCCTGGGAGGCTTCGTCGTACTCAACGTCGCCTGGCACGCCGTTCGAGACCGGGATTCCGTTCACTTGCCGAGTGGGATTTGAACTGGTGTTGGCCGGCGTGCTGGTTCCTGGATAAGCCTGATTGTGCTGTGCTGTGGGAGCTGAGCGAGAGGCAGGCTGTGACTGCGACCTGAGTGAGCTTCCGGAAGTCGACGCGCCTGACTCTGTTGTCGCTGACGATCTCTGAAGGCCTCTTCGATATTCTGGCGTGCTAGTCGCCACCGTCGCCGGCGAAGAGGGATAGGCGAAGCTTGACTGGCCGTAATACGCCGCCATGGGAACTCCATACATGCTGTACCAATCTTGAGGGCCAGCGATGGGAGCACTCAGGGGCGGATTGTCGAAGGAGTTGGTCCTGGGCCGTTCTGGACCCTGCTGCGTAGCTGAAGAGGACCCCTGCATCCTCTGAGCAGCGTGCATTTGGGCAGCCATCTGGGCCTGGACTTGCTGATAAACCTGGGATTGAGTATAGAGCTGGAACCGAATGTTATTTTCTTGCTGAACCTGGGCGGCCATGGCTGCACCTACAAGCGCGGGATATTGCTGGTGGGACTGTGCCTGCTGCGCGTACCACGCAAGATCCTGGGGAGTCATAGCCACTTGGGGCATGTACATGGTGTTGGTGTCGTAAGCGACGCTGGACGAAGCTCTCCTGTTTGAGTTCGCATTTCGCTGGAAGTTGTTCGAGTGTCGGCCTCCACGGAAGTTTCCGCGACCTCTGCCAGAATGTTGCTGAGAAGAACTGCGGATCATGACAGGCCTCGAAGTATTTGGAGGGCGCTGGAACACCGGTATCTCTTCCTTGGGGTAGACGTATTGTTCGCAGCATTCACCCAGTTTTCCTTCCGAGATGAGGTCAAATGCTCGTCGCAACTCCAGATGAAGTCCACGGAACGAGTATTCATCCGCAGTGTTGCCCAGGTTGCGAGCGGTGTTGAATGGCTCCTCCACACACAAATGGTTATTTATGCCAATGTGCCATGCTTTTTCCAGTCGCGTTGTCTTCCGTCCAAGACGAATCGATATAACGTACTTATCGTAGTCGAACTCGTGTGCGTAGAAGCGGAAAAACTGGAACAAGAGCTCACCCAAAGACGCCTCATTCTTTGCGCCGAAACCGCTCAGCTTTTCCAAATCATCAGCGAATGCGCTCTCGGGCCCGCCATTCTTAGGGAGCCGCTGATGCTGCCGCTGATGAAGGGAGGGAAGCACTGGCGGGTCGCGAAGCTGGAGAAATCCGATGATGAGGCAGATCCACGTGTAAGAACTGAGGGTACCACCAAACGCTGTTCCGATCAGTAAAATGTGCCAATAGTCAAGGGGTAACGGCGAACCTTACCAGCATCGTTTACGATCCTCTGCCGTGTCCAGTATTTGATAACCATGGCCAGGGGCCGCACTCGAGGATCGATCTCTACGTATGTTCGGACCATTCTCGTGTTCTCCAACGCCAGAGTATTGTTCACATTCATGTCGCAGGCAAGACCGAGCTCGGGGTCCCAGATCTTGACGATGGGAACTTTAGCGCCTGAGATGCAGACCACCTTTTCCATGCCCTCTGTCGTGGTTCGTGTCAGCAATGTTGTTGGTTTCTGACCAGAGAATTGTTTTACGTACTCTTCGCAAGCAATGCTGCAATCATGCAGACGTACTCCAAGTCCTTCCAGGGCGTTGTAATGCAGATATCGACTATTGAGACAGTTAGCACTGCATCCCCAAGCACCAGTCCAGTATTAAGAGAGCCCACGAACCATCCGCGTCGTCTGAGCAAAGCAAGTTGCCCGAGGAGCCGAAGAGGTGCACGCGAATGTCATTTCCAGGCCACTCCTCATTGAACATCTT